ATTTTCACTTTTTTTTTCATCCCATATTCAATCAATCAATCAATGAATCAATCAATCAATCAATATGTCTATCGTAATACACATAAATCGATTGTATAACAGATAAAAGAATGTTTTTACAACGGAAGTGAATCGTTATGTTTGTTTGTTTGTTGTTGTTGTTGTTTTTTCTTTCTTTTTCTACTAAACCATGGTTACTTTTTTTGTTGAAATTTTATGATCACTTTAGTAGTGAACATACAATTGGTTAATCAAATTTATCTAAAGTAATCATAATGATCTATTCGATGTATAGTTATAATTTCAAGTTGATTCTTTTAAAAAAATATATATAAACAAAACAAAAACATTAACAGAATTCATTAGTTTGTAAACAATTTAATTATTTATTTACACTTGTATCATCCAATGGAGTATAGATCGGTGAGCAGCATATTTCTAACTATTTCTGTCTTGGGCATTCATCTCTAGTTCTATGTATTTGTTGTTTAGTGTTCTTATGTTTGTCTCCATTTATTGGTGTAATGTGTTCTTTGGTCTTTTGCTTTTTCTTTGACCTTGAGGATTCCAAATGAAGTTTTACTTTGTGATGTATTTAGGTGCTTTCCTTAATATGTGTTTGTTATATGCTGATGTGAATAATGAATGGTAATTTTTGGGATCCATTTATGGACCAATACTATACGTATATTTTTATCATATAATTAGTAATTAACTAAACTATTCATATTCATATCTCTCTTATGGTGAGCTTTATTTTTACTTATGAACTATAATTATACGATTAACCATTCTTGAATTATACCCAGTCTATCATTTACTATTTCTCACATTCACAGCCACATTTGGATAGAACTTGTACAAATGTTATTTTCTATTTTATGGTACGATGTGGTCTGTTTGGTTGGTATATAAACTCAGTATTTTTGAAATACATGATTCATTTCGCAGAGGCATAGATTGGTGTTCTGGACTTAACTGGCTGGGTTAGGCGGTAAGCAAGACCGATAATTACTCTAGACTGCTCGTACGGGTTTTATTCGTCATTGGTCCAAACGACAATTCACTGTTTTCTAATTGGCGGTATCATTATGTTATACATTAACAGGGTCACAAATTATAACAGTATCTTATCCACTTGCATCGCTACTCCCTAAATTCTTCCTCCGTTGGATTTTGTAAACAAGATGCTGTATAAAAAACCATATATAAACATGTTATTTTTGAATAGCAACTAATTTACATCTTAATCTGATTTTTATTCAATACATGATGAGGATATTTAAAATAGTAATGGGTGGTTATAATTTATTTAATCATCAAGTCAGAAAGCCAAGTAGTAATGAGTGTTATTTCCAGTAGTAAATTAACTGATTTTCAAAATGTTCACAATCTGATTCAATAATCTAAACGTATTAAACTCAGTAATGATGCATAGAATTTTGCTTGAATTCTTGGTGTACAGTGCTGAGAACTTATCAACTGAAAAAAAGAACTGTTATTTAGTCAATCCTGATTTTATGGACGGCGAGTGCTAAGTAGCACGAAACCCGGGTCCAGGGTTTGTTGACGACTACTTTCAACCACCATCTAAATAAGTATACTGTTGAACAGTATGGAGCTGCTCAAAATTAATCATCTGCGATTTAATCGGAAATAGAACTATTAACGATCATGAACTGTGACTAGCATTTACATTTCAGATCACTGAATTAACATCTATTGGTGTATATTTCTGATTTAAATCGACCAGCGATATTGCAAGATGATCAGTTATTCCCAATGATGACACATATAACACGCTGTACTGATAATATCTCGTAATGGGAATTACAATACATTTGAATCATTATTCATTATTACATCGTTATATAAATGAATAACTTTAAAATACGGAAGTCAAGACAATTCCTATGTATAGAGAACTACAGCAACTATCATCCAAAACGGACAGATATGTATAAACAGTTGAACACACATTCTATTCCAGATACGATGCTCAGACACCATCGATAACAACCTACTGTGATAGAGAACAAACAAGTTTCCACATGAGGAGATGGATGGGACCTACATTGAGGAAATCATCGAACTGCGTCCCGAGACAGGCCCTTGCTTACAATTCTCAAGGTAGAAGGAGAAGAAGAAGATCAATGAACTCATTGTACTGTGAATTGGAGTCAGACATGAAAAGAATGAATGGAAAGGAGATCCTAGGACAGAGTTGATTATAGATCTCGAGTAAGCAGCATATGTTCTACGGAAATCAAAGGCGTAAGTGATCATTTTGTTACAAACATAAATGAAAATACACCAACTATTAACAAATTCCGGATAATTTCCAGAAGCGCTTAACAAGTATCACATCAAATAAAGAACTGTCTATAATTCAAAAATTTCTAGCAGTCACATAATGATATACTGCTATTAATATACTCATACATATTATTTATTTGACTCGTTCAAGTGTGTAGGATCGGACATTCTAAAAGGGATCATACTTCCCAGATAAATCAATTTTAATTCAACGTTTTTATTAGTTACCGAGCATATATCATTTCATTCAAAGAAAAAAGAAGCCAAATGCTTCTACTCTAATAGTTTAATAATTATGCTAATATTTTCTTTTATTATAGTTATACGTTTGGTTCAAGATATTATTTCATTCCAATTGCCATGGTGAATCATTTCTTCAATATTCATTTTTCCCTTGTGTAATCAGTTTAAGAATTCTTTATGTGAATCTCTGCAAAAAAATAATTTAAATACAAAGTATACCAACAGGCAGATATATATATACACACACATTAAGATATATATCTATCTATCTACATACATAATGAGAAATATTATTCAAAGGATATAGAGTATGACCTTATTTAACAGATTTAAAAACGGTATTATAAAATAAAATGAACAGATTAAAGCTTAACGATAGAGGATTATGATTAGAAATGACAGTATGAATAACTCATTAGGATAACAGAAAGATCAGTTTCTATTATTTATTGGAAGGTAACAATTATTACTATACTTACTTACTTACTTTCGCCTGTTACTCCTAGTGAAGGAGCATAGGCCGCTTACCAGCATTCTCCATCCAACCCTGTCCTAGGCAATCCTTTCCAGCTCTTTCCAGTTCTTATTCATCCATTTCATATCCGCTTCTATTTCCTGACGTAATGTGTTCTTTGGTCTTCCTCTATGTGGAGGAACATAGGCCGCCTATTACTGTTCTCCACTAAACTCTGTCCTGGACAATCCTTTCTAGTTGTTTTCAGTTGCTAGTCATTATTTTGATGTCTGCTTCTAATTCATGATGAAGTGTGTTTTTCGGCTTTCTTATTTTCTGTTTCCCTTCTCGATTCCAAGTTAGGGTTGGCTTCCTAATGCAGTTTAGTGATCTCCTTAGTGTATTTTAAACACAATTCCAATGTCTTTTCTTGAAGGTGGTTTGTTCTCTTCCACAGTAGACTGTTGTTGATGGTATCCAGCCAACGGAGCTAAAAAAAATTAGTGAGATGAAAATAATTTACGGATAAGAAATATAATAGATAATTGCCCGCTTGAAAGATATGGATAAAACAAAACAAGTAAACTAGAACTAAATTGTACACATTACCTTTACATGAAGAGTTTACTTTGAATTGTGGAACTTCTAATGTCCCTACAGTGCACAAGTTGACGATTCATGGTTCATTCTAGATCAACCCTCTTGGCTGTGAATGCTATTTTGAAAGACGGATTTGATGAGGTGACATGATAAGAATTTATGCAGTATTCGGTACTAAATTGTTAACCGTTTTGGATTTTTCTGAGATTCATTGAAATAGAGTTTATAATGCGTTACCTAAGACCTGTGAACGCTTTGTGATAAAATTTTGCTGTGCTTCTTATTAAAATAAAATCACAAAAACTTTTGTAAAGCTTCAGTAAATGAAACAGAGTTAAAGAAAAGTTCCTACGCTTAATTGTAATTAGTTAATTCAGCTCTATAGAAAATGATTTTTCAAATGTTTTAAGTATTATTTCTTCGGGATGTACATGGAAAATCACCACATTTTGAGAAAGATAATCCAATTGATTTTGTAATAATAATTATTGACATTGATTTAAGCGGTTTGGAAACAATCAACAGAAAAATATGCTTGACCTAGTTAGACGTACCTACAGTCATGTAAGAATTGGTCTTCTGTTTGAAATTCTAATCAATTCAGTGGATGCAATAATCTATGAAGTTACCTTTGAGATATTTGAATCCTTACTGATCTCCAGTAAAACTTAAATTGCTGATTAGTATCATGTTTATTTAGCCTTTAAAGCTGATTGAATGCTCTAGGTTAGGATCCACTATGATTTAAAAAAACTGTTTCAAAATCCAAGCGATTACGTTTCTCACTATAACTTTAGGTTACACCTATTTCAATTCGTCAAGAAGCAGTTATTTCATTAAGATTACCAACTAGTTAAAAATCTGACTTCAAGCATTTAGTTTTCCTAGTTACTTTCAATTAATAAATATAGTTAGTCTATTAAAGAAGAAGAATGTATTTGTAAAATATCAGCGAATGAATTTGAAGCAAATTCAACGTTTCGCTTGGCAATCTGGTCCAAATTTTTTTCAAGGAAATGTCATTTCTTAGATTTTACAAACATATTCTTCCTCTTTAATGTCTCATATCAACTCGGTGCTCAAATACTGTGAAACTATTCGATCAAATTTAGACGAAAGTTCGTATTTATAGTTAATTTATACTGAAACATTCATCTAAAAACTATTAATTTAATAAGAAATTTCGTTGAATATCAAGACTATTTTATATTACCATTATTTAGTTCAAACCAATTAAATAAATCCTAACGTTCAAATTTATTTTTAATACTAAATTTTGATTGGTTACTTCTTATTGAAAACTATTTTATAAACCAATCAAATTAAAGTATAAACCAATACCTTATATATATATATATCTCATATATAATTGGTCAAAATTTATTTTCTACCATGTAAGACAGTAACCATAGGTACATAGTAAATTCTAAACTTATAATCTGTCATGAACAACATTCAATTATAAAATAATAATGATAAAGAAACCATCACTGAATGATATATGATGATGTATAATATGAAGAAAAGAAAAAATCAATATTTGAGATTACATTTCGCATATTTACAAAAATATAATGGCAAACATTTAAAATTTATCTTGTAACTATAGATATATATATATATATACATATAATTAAAAGTTAACATCATCATCTTGATCATCATCATCAACATCATTTCGATCATCATCTTGATCATCGTCATCATCATTTCGATCATCGTCTTGATCATCATCATCATTAAGATATTTCATAAAAAGGAAAACAATTCTGGGATTAATTTTATCATCACGTGTTTTTTTTACAAAAAGCATTTTTTTTTACTATGTGGTTAATCTAAGAGAAAAAAAACAATTATGGGTTGCGTGAATACAAAATCAATTTTAGATAAATCAATTGAAGACATTGAAAAACCTGAAATTTTATTGAAAGTAAGTATTAAATCATTTAATAAAATAAATTATTTATTTAATTTATTGTTATGATTGATTATTTGTATAGAAGTAATTGATGAATTAATCAATGATGGATTGTGGTTAGCAGTGGAATCAATAATGCCCATTTCATCCTATTTGAGACTCATCAGCTAGATGTAACTGTATTCAAGAGTTAATGTTTGAATCCCAGGATGCAGATATATCCAGTTGACGAGTCCTAAAAATAGAATGAAATGTGTATCGTTGATTCCATTACTAACCATTAACCATTTTTGCTTAAAAAGCTTGTGATTTAAATCTATATCGAGGTAATCCACACAGGATGTATATATGCCAATAAGAGACTGATCAATTGGAGTCCTAAAATAACAATGGGAAGATATATATAAAACAACATCAAATGAATTTAGAAATGATTAATTTATGGAAAATGATTTAAAAATATTAAATTCATCATTTTCAAGTTAAGCAGGATATTTGTTATCATCATAATTCATGAAAATATACATTTATTTGGATTATAAAAACTTGTATTAGGGTAGAATTTATGGTTTAAAGTACTTGGTAAATGTCAAAGTTTACATTAATTGAATTGATGACTAATTCATTTTATACCATATAAAATGTTTATTCATCAAGATATGTACACTCAGATGAAGTCTCTTTTGATCAAATGTTTACTACAAATTTGAAAGTTATAATACAGTCAGTAGCTGAGTGAATAACGCGATAGCATTTAAAGCGAATGGTACTGGACTCGAGTCCTAGGGTGAACATCAATAACGGACTGATCAATTGTCAATATATATATATAGACCTAATGACTTTCTAAATGATTTCTTACCTAAATTTAGGCTTAGTATTTTATTATCAATGTAACATTCTATTTACAATTAAAAATCTAGTGTTAACATTAATTGAAGCGTTATTGATTTCCCTTTGGTTTGATACTTGTGATACATGTTACTTCAAACCATTATATGATTGTAAAAGATCCTATTCTTATTTCCCTTGTTCTTTTAACTATCTGTAAAGTGGAATGAATGAACTTAAAGAGGGTAGGCTAAGATATTCTGATAGATCATTTTAATTATCCCATGTAACTGATGAAGATCGCTCAATAAAGGCCTTTCAATTTACAATATTTATTGTGTAATGTGTATATGTTTACAATAATGTGTATATTCTTAAAGTTTTTAATCTTGAGATAATCAGCTTGAGTTTTAGAATTTTTTTAAAATGAAAATATCTTGTTTCTATGATATTTTTTGTTACTACAAACGTAATATGCCAATCAAATTAAGATATGATTAACTCAAATATTTATGCTACTGATTGTTACAGGATTGATAAATGGGGATTCGTGGAGATTATAGAATCTCTATAGTTTAAATCATGAACTGATCCTAGGTAGATCACTACTGAAAACGTGGAAGTACTGAACAGATGTTTTGTCACAGTACAGGGCTATTAAGCAGTTTTCATCAACAACCTCGCGTCTGAGAATCAAACTCGATACATTTGATGTTGCACTCAGATGCTTAGGTTTGAAACCACTGAAGCAGTATCTGACAGCGTTACAGCCTTATTTGAATCAATTCACTATATACGCAACTATAATTGATTGTTTGTTGTAGATAACTGTCTTAAACCCGACTTGGTTTATCTCCAGCGTCCATGGCTTCTTACTAAAACTTATTCCAATCAGTTGTATTTATCACTCTGTATGACCAACTCAAACTGATTCAAAGTCTTGACAGTTTATTTATGTAATGTGAAATTGTTTATTGTTTGTATATATGTGATGATTAGTATTGGATAAAACAAGTCAACTTATTACACAATGGCATTCATGATTATTCATGTAATTCACGAGAAGACGAAATTGGTTATCGTATTTTTTTTATTATATGATGATAATTAGTAGTAATCATAATTTTTAATAGCCACACCTCTTAAGGTAATGACCAAGTTGTTAAATATATGGATTCTATGAATAACAGTTATAAACTTTACTTGAATACTATCTGTGATGATTGCGTTTATAAATATGATTGAGCTTGTATTTCACCTCGGTTCCAAAGAGATAACATTGACTAATCAATTGTAGCTTGGTTTTTTCAGCAGTATAATAACATTCGATAGAATTTGTTTCCTCATTGTTCTGTAAAATCGTTTTCAAATTCACTCATTTCGATGACACTGTAAACCATATTATATATATTCAGTAATTGTATTGAAGGCATATAAAACAAACCACTGGATTGAAACTAGTATAAATAGTTAAGACAGTGTGCAATAGAACTTGATCTTTATTTTTATTGAGATCATGAATCGACTGATGTTAGACCACCGTTGGAAACTTGGAAGCACTGGACAGCCGTTTCGTCCTAGTATGGGACTCCTCAGCAGTGCACATCCACGATTCGAACCCAGGGCCTTCAGTTTGGCGTGTGAACGCTTAACCTACTGGACCACTGAGCCGGCATCCAATGGTGTTAGTGTCTAACTTGATTTGATTACTTATACACCAACTAATTTTTTCATAATGGAATAACTTCATTCATAGAACTATTGAAAACCGGGGATAGCTGGAGCGTTATTTTATTCTTGTATAATATTCCTTATCATTGAATGATCTATAGAATAAACGTTCACTGAAAAGCCAAAGGTTCTATGTTCGTTCCTTAATTAGTTTGTATATATATATATGCAATGTTGAACAATTCTATCGTAGGATGACAAAGTTTCCACAATGGCGTCGGTGTATACACTCTCTGTCTTCCTTAAATTAAGAGATTAAAATCGCTTCATATCTTTCTAGGAACTAATTCTTTCTTCCTGTACTATCTCCATATACACAATCTTTCTTCTATATATTACCACCACTGAATTAACTACTTCTATGAATCCGGTGTTCATCTTGTTGTGCTAATGCGGTATGGCAACTTGGACCGATGCATATACGTGCCTGGTCCTACGTTGCAGCTGACTGACAGCTGACTGACTAGTTTTTATTGGTTGTAAAATTAAAATGAACTCGTGTGGTATGACAACAAAATTCATTACTCCATTTTATTAAAATATATTAATTGCTATCTTTCAATTGCTATATTTCACTCAGTGAGGGTGGTAGATGTAAAGGGGGATGCTTATTAATATTTAACTAAAAGTATTGTTCTATTTGACAAAAAAAAAAAAAGAAACACAATTTAATCCAGTCCATAATTACACATTCACAATATGATTTCTTTGAAATTCTTAATGATAGATACTGGAACTGTAATAAATGTAAACTCCCTATTATTCTATTCCCCTATGAAATATTTAAAAACTGCATTAATCCTGTTTATATTGATTTGAACAACTGTCTGTCATTTATAATTTAATTAATGAAACTATTAATTGATTATAATAAGTTGGTTTTGTTTGATTTACATTTTTTTAAATTAGCTATCTTGACTAACAAACTTATTGTGTTGTCAAGATATAGAATTGTATTTTTATGAAATGTATAATATTGGGTAATTGTAATCAAGTAATAAAAAGTTCTGCTTGATCTGAGTTTTGTGTTGATTCAGACTTTTAATAAAAAGATATCCACAATATTGAACAAACAATGAATCACTGAGACATTTTAACTGATATCTTACCTTCTTTTCTTTTTATCATGTTTATTATATAAACACATCAATATTGGTACAAGAATACACCAAATATATATGCACCATATATTTTATTCGATTTGTGTGAGATGGTTTTTTTTAGGGGGGGGGCCACTCCCCAAACCTTTAAAATAAAGGTCTAATCCACATGACAGTGGAACAACGCCAGTAGATGAAGTTCTTTGATAGCTGGTGACAAATAATATGTTTATAAGCTATTTGTCCGCTCAGGATCCTTGAACTCATGTGTACCATTGCTTTGAAATTACGGTTTTCCAACTCCTCTTGGTGGATGCTCCATACCCACCAACCTGTTTAAGACATCAAATATTTTCGTTTCGTCCTCTAAATGCCGTAAACAACACTCCCACCGTGAGAAAATAGTGAGTAGGACTTTCATGTCAATATTCTTCATATTTCACTCCTTCTCTATGATATGCTTGTTTGTGGAATGATAATCTGTTGTATACGCCTGATAGGTCCAGAGTTGTTTCTAACTGACGTTCTTCAGGATAAACTACATGAATATATATAGTTTAGCTAGTGTGAAAACTATTCAACCTTTTATTATCTAACGTTTAACACTTAATAGATCTTTTTCAATAATAAACAAACCGATTGAATAAGATGTTCCTTTTCAATTGATGCTTAATTACTGGTTACATACTTATTTACGCCTGTTACTCCTCGTGAAGGAGGATAGGCCGCTCACCAGCATTCTCCATCCAACCCTGTCCTGGGCAATCCTTTCCAGCTCTTTCCAGTTCTTATTCATCCATTTCATATCCGCTTCTATTTCCCGACGTAATGTGTTCTTTGCCCTTCCACTTTTCCGCTTCCCTTCACAATTCCAAGTTAGTGCTTGCCTCGTAATGCAGTTTGATGATTTCCTCAATGTATATTTTCTCCATTTCCATTGTCTTTTCCTTATGTTTTCTTCAGCTAGAAGCTGGTTTGTTCTCTCCCACAATAGACTGTTGCTGTTGGTATCCGGCCAATGAATGTTGAGTATCTTGCCTAGACAGCTATTGATAAATACTTGTACATTCTTGATGATGGTTGTTGTAGTTCTCCAAGTTTCATCTCCGTACAATAGAACTGCCTTGACGTTCGTATTGAAGATTCTGACTTTGATGTTGGTTGAAAGTTGTTTTGAGTTCCATATGTTCTTTAATTGAAGGGATGCGGACCTTGATTTGCCATTCTTCGCTTATAGTTCTGCATCTGATCCTCCTAGTTCATCGATGATGCTTCCCAGGTATGTGAAGGATTCTACATCTTCCAGAGTTTCGCCATCAAGAATGATTGGATTGGTGTTCTCTGTGTTGT